GCAGGCCAGGTCCCCAGTGGGGGGCGCGTGAGAGACGACCGACTGATGTATCCGACGTATCTCTCGCACATCAACGTCTCTCTCTCTTTCTCCCTCCTCTTCCCTCTCTCTAAAAATAAATAAATAAAATCTTTTTTAAAAATGTAACCAAATGAGCTATCGAGCCAGAAGAAAAAAGAGAGAGAAAGGGCGCCGATGGAACTGGAAACTAGAAGGGCGAGCTGGGGAGAACCACAGGGGACCGACCAGAAGGGCCGGGCCAGCCCCCAGGGCTCCACGGTCTACCTGGAATTGGACACGGTCTTGTGACTGGCAAAGGGGCTGCCTGCCTCTACCAGAGAACTGAGGAAAAACTCACCAGCCCTTGCCAGCGGGAGGACAGAGCTGCCACATGCAACTTGGATTAGCTTTTGTTTTCTAAGTGACGGCACTTCTGCACTTGGGGGCTTTTCCTACTCAAGGACCATGAGGGTAGTGGGCCCTGGCCTTGGAAAAATACCCACACACTGGAGCCTCGTTCTTTGCAGTCTCTGAACAACGGGGAGACTCACAGTGTCTTTGGGGCGGGGGACTCACCCCCACCCCTGCCAGCTCTTTGAAGCAGCAGCACCACCATCCTAGTAAAGGCAGCCTCATTTCGGGATGGCCCTGCCCTGGGATTAATACGGTCTCCACAGGTTCTGAAGTCTTGAAAATGGTATGTAGTCTAATAAAGGCTGTATATGGGGAGGCGGCGGGGAGGGGAGGAGCTCGTTCAAGTTCCAGAGACTCCGCCAGTGTGGAGCGGGCGGCTTTGTTCTCTCCAGCGCAGGGCTGCCTGTGCATGTGATGACTAGGGCCGCGCACCAGAAAAGCCCCGCCCAGGCGCTGTTCCGAGTGGGCTTTGGTTCTAAGGCGGACAGTGAAGGTTAAATCTTACATCATTTAATAAATCACTTAAAGGCCGAGAAGCTTCTCCTGGTTCCCCAGCGCACAGGGCGCTCCTGCAGACTGCGTCTTCTGATCTCAGCCACTCTCCCCGCAGCAGCCGTCCGCGTCTCTGTGGCGAAGTTAGGCGCTGCTGAACGGGTTAATATTAAGAACTAGTAAATAGAGGAGGAACTCTCTCTGCTCAAGTGCACTCAACGTCTCCCCTTTCTTTTCTCATTTGTAAGAACTTGCTTCTCTGGCCCTTCTTTTTCCTTTCTGCAAACAAAGGCCATTAATTGATGTCTTTTTTTTTCTCTCTCTGTCTCTCTCAAGGAGTGGTATGGAACAGAGCTATTAATGTACATGTGCAAGAAATATTTATGCAAGAAGTAAGTTTTTTTTTAAAGATTTTATTTATTCATTGTTAGGGAGGGTGAAAGAAAGGGGAGAGAAACATCAATGTGTGGTTGCCTCTCACACGCCCCCCCCACTGGGGACCTGGCCCCCAACCCAGGAATGTGCCCTGCCTGACTGGGAATCGAACCATGGACCCTTTGGTTTGCAGGCCAGTGCTCAAGCCACTGATCCACACCAGTCAGGGCTGAAATAATAGTTTAAATGTCCCATTGTTACCATTCTGAAAATGAAATCTGAGAACTGAAACTGCTTACAGGAGACGAAAGGATAAAACACATCAAATACAACAGCAAACCAAACCAAAAGGGGACATTTCTGGGCTCCAGAGTTCAGGGGAGACCTGCTACATTTTCCCTGATGCACACACACAACACGGCTCCCTGCCCCTCTGCTCCCAGGAAGGCAGCCTCGGTCCACAGTACAACCGTAGCCACCCTAGAAAGAAGAGCAAGCCGTCCAACAAGCCGTTTAGAAAGGCTGTTGAAGGAGCAGGTGGGCTGGGGAACATGAGCAAATCTCATCCACAGCTGCTGGGCAAACTACTAGGGCAAACACCAGTCCCATAGAATAAGTTCTGGTGTCTGAGGTTGGGTTTTGATGTTCGAGACACTACCTGGAAGGAATCGGGGCGATATAAGCGGTCCATTTAAATAAGGGAACCACTTAGTATTAAGCAATTTTTATAGTTTGGAAAGGAGCCAGACTGCCTGGGTCCAAATACTGGTTTGGCTACTTCTCACTAGCTCTGTAATCTGAGACAAGTAATTAGCCTCTTGTGTACTTCAGTTTTCCCATCTGTAAAATGGGATAATAACATCATCTGTCTCAGAGGCGAAGTGTGAGGACTCAATGGATTAATATATGTCGAGTGCACAGAAGAGCAGAATTGCTCTTTATGCTGTTAACTGATTAGGTGCAGTGACGTAGGGCTACTGTAACCATTCAGCCCAGGGTTTACAGGATGAACAGATACTTTGAGGGGCCATCAGACCCTATGTCTGGAGTCTGGTTTGGGAACTGGGGTCATGATCCTGAGGTCATTCCACACCCCATGAGAAGGTATACCCTAACCCTCAGGACAGAATCTCGGGGCTGAGTCGGGAAACAGACCTTTTCAGTAGACCTGCAGGGGCTCAGGACTTCTGCCCAGGGCGGGACCATGTAAGCCCTGACCTAATGCTTGCAGCTGGGATACTGCTGCTGGTAAGTGTACTTGCGAAGCATGTTATTGTGCCCCTACTGGCGGTTTTGGTGCACAGAAAACTCCAGCCCCTGAAGATTCCCTAGTCCCAAGTTATTTAGAGAATGGCGTTAACACTTGACTGTGAGTATTAAAGCAATGTCAGCTGAGAACAGGAGAGTGCAGACCAAGACTGACTTTATGGCGAACATTTTGGTAAAGACATTTAAAATGCTCATAGCTCCTTGATCCAGCACCTCTATAGAAACACTTCAGTACACAAAGGGTTATGTTTAAGAACCACTGAAGAAATCATGGAAAATTAGGAACAACTCTACGAATCATCAAGAACGCATGCTTAGCCCTGACTGGCGTGGCTCACTTGGCTGAGCGTCGTCCCACAAAGAGAAAGGTTGCAGGTTTCATTCTCAGTCAGGCACGTGCCTGGCCTGCAGACTCGTTCCCTGGCTACAGCACGCAAAAGAAAACTGATCAACGTCTCTCTCACACATGGATGTTTCTCTCCCCCCCCTTCATCCCTTCCCCTCTCTCTAAAAATAAACAAAATCTTTTTAAAAAATGCTTAAACCAACCATGGCTCCCCTGTACAGTGGAAGACAGGCCACCACCTGGCCACAAAGGAGAAGGACCGACAGGAGTGTCTCCGAGGTATATAACTAAGGAAAACTACCTGGGACACTAGTTACGGTAAAAGTCACATTTTTGTCTTTGAAAGCAGTACTACTTGTTAGCATTCATTTGGGAAAAGGGTGAAAGGAAAGAAAGCTCTGGAGAGAGATGCACCAAACTGTCAGTGGTGCTCTTGGGGAAGGAGTGGAGGCCACGTTGTGGGAATTTTTCTTTCTTTGTTACACACACATTAAATTTGTTGCGACTCATATTACTTTATGTGGTCAGCACGCGCGCACACACACACACACACACACACACAGAGGCAGCCAGGGCATCCATACCTGAGGGCTCCAGCTCTTCGGTGCTCTCAGAGGGCAGAGGCGGGCACAGGACATTGGTGGGCATCCTTAGGATGTGTCAGCGGAGATGAAGTGACTTCTTCGTGGCACCCGAATGCCAGGGCTCACGGGGATATATGAGCCCCTGACCTGTGCGCTTCCCACACTGGGCTCTCATTGAAAGGCTCTTCCTTCCACACTCATTTTGGGGGAAGAGGCCCCGTGATATTCAGCAGATGTTCAAATGAGTCTGGCTGGGGCCCAAGAGACTGGGGGGCCAAATCCCACCAACGGGGGATTAACAGTAGTGTGCTTCCCTGTTCCATGATGTTGTGAGAGCCAGACAAGCTTGTGGGTTAAAAAGAAAAAGAAAAGAAGAAAGACTTTCCAAACTACAGGAAACACAGCAACTGACCATGCTACTCTATGCCCCACGGGGACTGCAGAGGGTGACCTGGGCTGAGAGGCAATCCCTGAGCCCTCCTGGTGGCCTGGTGCTACTGAGTCAGTATAAAGAACTGTGGGGAGGGGCATTGGAAGATGACCCTTCAAATTAGTGGGCACAGCCCCTTCCAGGGCTAATGGTGAGGGTCTGCATTTCCCCTTCACTTGCCAGCACATAGGGTTGTGCTGAGCACAGGCCTGAGCACGGCCAGCAGGGAAGAGTGCAGCAGCCAATGTTCTAAGAAGACAACTTCCCAACCCCCAGGCAGCCACTCGGTTCCAAGCTGAGTGGCGCATGGAAGTCAGGGGTGCTGGGCACTGCAGTGAAGCTGCCGCATGTGACTGCAGGATGTCTCTGCCTGCAGAACTCGCTGGAGGACACAGCCGGGCCCTCAGAGGTCATGTCTGCTGAACAGGGAGCAGGGGAAGAAGAGTCCCCATAGTCACAGAATAGTGGTCACTTCTCACAGCCCACCCTGCACCCAGCTCCTGTTTCTCTCTCCCTTGCCACTGAAATTCTCTCTGACATTTTGGATTTCTGTGCAAAAAGACTGCGGAAGCCCATCTGGTTCCTGCAGGTCAGATGAGTCATCCCCCAAGTCATTCCTACCAATCAACCGACTTTCAGATGGTTTCGCCAGCCCTCCGCTGGATAACTGCAGGTGAGGGTCACAGCAGGGGCAGGCGACGCTCCCTTCACTCCCCCTCTCACAGACAAAGGGACAGAGCAGGGGGGTGGCCTGAGGGCAGATAACACAACTGCTTTTCTCTTTCTTCTCAGGCCAGTGAGGAGAAACTGCTGCTGCTGGAGAAGAGGGGGTGGTGAAAAGGAACAGGGGTCCACCTGCTCCATTCTGACTGAGATGAAAACTGCGGCTGGGTATGGAATGCCTTTTGTTTACAAGTATTTCCCATTTCACAGAACTTATCATCTTGGCCTCAAAGCACTTTCCAGCAACAGACTGAAGGGGCTTCAGGTAGAAGTAGGTCTGAGGCTGCCCCCGGGCTCAGAGTGGTCAGCCAGCTCTGATGTGATGTGGTCGGCACATCGCCTTCCTCCCCCCACCCCTCCACTTTCCTCTGCTGCAGCCACACCGGCCTCCAGAGAGACTCCCCTCTGGGCCTCTGCCTGGAATGCTCTTCCCCTCCTTCCGATCCTCACTCACACATCAACTTCTCTGAGTCCTCTTCTGGACAAGCTACCTAAACTCACAGCTCCCATCCCCATATGCTTCTCAACCCCCTCCCCCACTTTATTTTTCTCTATAGCATTGAACAACATTGGACATTTTGTCTATCCTATTAATCTTATTATCTGTCTCCTTCCTCTATGAAGTAAGCTTCCCCAAGGGCAAGGGTTTTGTCAGCTTTGTTTACTGCTGTGTTTGCAGTGTGTCTGGTGCAGCCAACTGGAACTTAGTAGGTGCTCAATAAACTGTTGTCACTGATGTCTGTGGTTTGCTTCCCTACCGTCCAGTTTTTGACACCTCGGCCCTTATATGTGGATGGGTGGGTACAGCCACAGGGAAGTAAAGGAATGAAGAAGAAGGATGAAGGAAGGAAAAGAATATTAGGAAATATGTAAAAGTTATGAGTGTGGAGAGATAAAGAGCAAAGTATAAACTGAGATTTCTGATTCAATAACAGAGCACTTGCAGAAGGTCAAGTTTGTGCCAGGAAGGAAGAACACAGCAGAAAGGGAAACTCTCTAGAATGTCCAGGAAGCCTAACCTGAACAAGAAGTCAAGGCCTGAGCACGATTCCTGGGGTTTGGCTGCAGCCACAGCTTTGGGCTCCTGCCACAGTGCCATGCTCTGCAGGTCAAGGGAGCTGCGCACAGCAGGCCTGGGAAGAGGTGGGAGAAACCAGGAAGGGAAAGAAAGGAGAAGAGGGAAGGGGCCAAGTAAAAGAGCAGGTGGGCGATCCAGGGGAGTTCGGGCGACAGAACACTGGGCAGTGGAGGAGCCCGAAGACGAGAGGCCGGGAGACTGAAGGAGCAGGAGGAAGGGGGCCTCCGAGGGAGAAGAGGTGGGCAGAGGGGGAGGAAGCGGGGGCGTGTGGTTACTGCGCAGAGCCAGACACCTCACAGACCTGTGCAGGGAAGTATCAGCGCTGCTCCTGCCATCCATCTGCCCCTGGAGGGTTTTTTTTAAGTTTTGTGTTTACCATTCTAAAGTTCTCAGTGCTTATGCTCTATCCCAGAGATGGATGGAGGTTTTATATATATAAACTTGAAAGAACTACCATACATATTTTTCAAACCATAACACACACCTAGGTTTTAGAGGAGGAAAATAGGAAAAAAAAATTTGAAGCAAAAAATGTGGTAAAATATTTAATAACATAATATTTTACCAATGTAAATGTAAACAGAACTCAACAGCAGCATTAACAACCATTATTCCTCCAAAATTTTTTTGGTGGGGGAGTGTGTCTTACAGTCCAAAAAATATGGTATTTAATAACTTGAAAACTTTTTTAAAGTATTTTATTTATTTATTTACTTACTTACTTACTTACTTATTTATTTATAGAGAGAAGGGAAGGAGAAAGAGTAGGAGAGAAACATCAGTGTGTGGTTGCCTCTCATGTGCCCCCTACTGGGGACCTGGCCCGCAACTCAGGCATGTGTCCTGACTGGGAATCAAACCAACTGGCTACCCTTTGCTTCAGAGGCCTGTGCTCAATCCACTGAGCTACACCAGCCAGGGCACTTGGAAACTTTTAATATTTTGGTCATGTTTAGGAAGGTTACATTAAGTCATCTTCCCCTTGAATTTGGTAACAAAGTAAAAAAAAGTCACTGTGGATCGAATCCATGGAAATCAACAAAGGACAGGTGCTTATTGCTTACTTGCCAAATAAGTGAAATTAAGAGCCAATTTTGGCCCTGAATGGGTAGCTCAGTTGGTTAGAGTGTTATCCCAATATGCCCAGGTTATGGGTTCGGTCCCCAGTCAGGCCACAAACAAGAATCAACCAATTAATGTGTAAATAAGTGGAAAAACAATGTTTCTCTCTTTCCTTCTCCCTCCCTTCATTTCTCTACAATTTTTTAAAAGGCAATTTAATTTTTAAAAAATTGATTTCAGAGAGAGCAAGAGAGTGAGAAACATCGATTTGTTGTTCCATGTATTTCTGCATGCATTGGTTGACTGGGGATGGAACCTGTAACCTTGGCGTATTGGGACGATGCTCCAATCAACTAAACTACTCATCCAGGGCGAAAAAGAGGCAATTTAGAAATGGAAATGCAGGGACTAGAATACTTCGTGAGGTCCTAGGAGACTAGGTTCTTAGACTGCAGAGTTTCTCAGTCTAATCAACATGATCAACTAGGACATGTCTTCAGAGTGGGAACGCATTTAGTACAGATAAGTTGTAAGTCAGCCCTGCCCAGGTGACTCATCGGGTGGGGAGTCATCCATACACCAGGAGATGGAGATTGCGGGTTTGATCTCTGCTCAGGGCACGGGCGGGGTCGCGGGTTCAACCCCGAGCCTAGACGCACGGCAGAGTGTGCAGGAGGCTGACGACGTCTACTGACGACATCTATCTCTCACAGAGTGGATTCTTTTTTCTCTCCCTCTCTCTCAAATCGATGTGCATGTCCTTAGGTGGGGATCAAATAAAAAGGCGTAAGTTAAGTCAATCATCTAACAATCAGTCTGATTATGTGATGCGGGTTGTATGGAGTCTAGTTAAAGGAAGGTCAAGAAACAAGGATTTTTTGTGCATATCTAGCTGGTCCCAAGGAGAGTCTTCTCTCCTCTGAGAGCCCCAATCCTCATTTGCTGGATATCTTTGATTTGGAGAATGGAAATCAGCCCAGCTACCCCAGCTGAATGGAAACATTCCTTAAAACAGCCGTTGCTCTACTTCTTGGCTCACTAAGGTAATTTGTGATCCTTAACTGTCTATAAGTTGACTTTTAAAAAAACATTTTATTTATTTATTTTTAGAGAGAGAGGTGGAGGGAGAAAGAGGGAGAGAAACATCAATGTGTGGTTGCCTCTGGCTTGCCCCCTACTGGGGACCTGGCCCACAACCCAGGCATGTGCCCTGAATGGGAATCAAACCAGTGACCCTTTGCTTCGTAGTCCAGTACTCAATCTACTGAGCTACACCCGCAAGGGCTATGACTTAACTTCTTAAAAGGAATGCATATCACGAAGGTTCTAAAATAAGAACTGTATTTGTAATCTGGCCAGAAAGAAATATCTTGTTGTTAACTGACACACAGAAATAGGCATGCTTGTATACAGATCCTTCAGCCACCTGAGAGTTTTAGAAAACTGTGTTCTGGTTCCCCGGGGCCTCATCACCCCAGAGACAGGGGTCAGGTCCTGTGGTAAAATTCTGTACCCAGGCCTGCAAAGCTGAGAGCTGATCAAGGAGCTCAGGGTCAGCCTTGTCAAGGTGTTGACAATAGGGAGTACCCTGGAAACAGCAAGCTTCTCCTTTTTGTCTTCTCTTAGCTGCAACTAAAATCCAGTGACCAAATATATAAATAAAGAGGACTCCACAGTGCTACACCTGAAAGGATTCTGACAAACCCGGCATCGGTCCACACACATTCAGTACAAACCGACTGTGAAAGCATTCATTCACCTCCCTAAAGGAGCAGAGGACTAAACACAGGACGTACACGATTCCATCTGAGACGTTTGTGGCTCCCTTCTCCTAGTACCAGGGCAGCTCCATGCAAACAGCAGCAGAGGGCGTGAAAGAAAATGGCCAGGGAGGACAAATACAGGGCTTGCCCTTCTTTTCTAGAGATGAAACCAGCCTGATTCTCTTTCCTGGAGAGCAAATCCTCCTTGATTGACACCACAGCTTTCCATCTCGATAGCAGAGGGCCAGATTTAGACCTGTTTCCTTTCCAGCCGGGGTCATTTTATTGCATTTTGCATGGTTCAGTAACAATTTCCTCCCCCTCCCTACCTCCAACTGCATTTTCATATTCTGAAATACCTCTTGACCAGAGACATAAAGCCACCTGCAGGGTCAGCCATATTGCCAGCCTCAAAGACATTGTGGGGCCACCTGCTGGAAGGCTCGGGCACTGCTCTGGCTGCTGGGTTCCTCAGGGCTCCTCCAGGTCCTTTGAGTCTGCCAGGTCTATGGCAGGACCACGATCTTTTTCTCCAGCTTCTGTGGTGGAAACAGGAAGTTTCTCATGATCTCATCCAGCTCTTCCAAGGCCAGCTGGGCATGGAGCTTGGCCACGTCATCGGGCTCCAAACACACTACGTGCTTCAGCAGGTGGTAGAGATCCTTGAGGACGTCCCTCAGCACCTGTGCGAGAGAGGGTCATGACCATCTGTCCACTGTGTGAGCATTTCCAGGGATGGGCAAATTGCCTTCTCCCATCTGAGGAGTCCTGTGAGGAACTCGCATGCTCCCTTAAGAAGATCATGCACGGCCCACTCAGGTTAGAGGTAGAGGGAGGGGCAGCTGTGCTGAGACGGGCTTCCCTTTGATTTCTCACACACTCCAGACCCCTCACAACACTGTCCTTTGGGGCTGCTGCTCCACTAAGCATCAGATCCAAGTACCCCAACTCCTTGCTTTGGTCCCAAAACATGGCACGGACCTCAGGCGCACTGCACGACAGCTGCTAGAGCAGTCACCAGCATTTCCCTCTCGTGCTCTGCAAAGCCCTTGCTGATATCCACAGGAGAAGGCATCCACTTATGAAACACAGAAGGCTATTTCTTCGGCAGTCATGCCTACCCTTGCCACTACTTTGAAGTCCCAGGAGCTCCCAGTTTCCTCCAAAATCTTCCTGGCTTGGGAGCTAGAACTTCTAGCAAGAAATAAGTTTCAAAAGAATGGAAAAATGCAACAAGGGGCCTTAAGGATCATCTGGTCAAACTGGGGACTGAAGACAACAAGGTCACAAGGAGTCATGTAACTTGTCCGAGGCTACTTCCGCAGTCACTTCTGGTCTGGCTCTTTGTCTCAAGAACGACTACATTTGGGTCAGGTACTATACTACATATTTTCCATATATCATCTAATCTTTATGCCAGTCACGTAAATGACAGTTATTAGCCCCATTTACAGATGAGGAAACAAAGAATTAGAGGGTTAAGTAACCTCCAAGGTTACTTAGCTAAAAAAATGGTGGAGACTGTGTTCTTATTTACTTATTTATATAGAAAAGGCAATGTAGTACAAAAAGTATCATACTCAGGAAAAAAATAAGTCCCTCCTTGATTCCAGACTCCTAGTTTCCCTTCTCAGAAGTTACGGTTCTTAACTGTGAGAAATACTCGAGATGTTTGTGAGCATACATGAGTATACACATATGCCCTTCCCCACACTTGACATACTCGGAAGGCCTTTTGTATGACTGGCACATATGAAAATAACTTTTTTATTTTTATTTTTAAATTTTATTTATTTTTAGAGAGAAAGAGAAAGAGAGGGAGAGAAACATCTAATGGTTGCCTTTCACATGTGCTCCAGTGGGGGCCTGGCCCGCAACTCAGGCATGTGCGGGAATCAAACCGGAGACCCTTCAGTTCGCGAGCTGATACTCAACCCACTGAGCCACACCAGCCCGGGCTGGAAATAACCTTTTAAAAATGACTGCACATGATATATGTCATACAATTTATTTACCCACTCTTCCAAATGAAAGCCATTTAGTCATGTTTTTAATATTTTGCTATTGCAAATATTGCTGCAATAAACATTTTGATACCTAAGTCTTTGCAGGCATGTACAAGGGTATCTATAGGACAAATATCTAGAAATGGAAATTCTAGGTCAAAGAGTGATGCACACTTATGCTTTTGATAAATAAGGCCAGAGAGGCTGCAAGAATTTACATTTTTACCTGTTCCCCCATGTTCTCATCCATACTACGCATCGTACACTCCTATCTTTGCTAATCCTGTAAGAAGTAGCACATTGCTATTTTAAATTTGCATCTTTCTAATAAATACATAAAGTATATAACTGTTTTCCAGTATGAATAACTGAACTTTTCCTTATTGATTTGTCAGGGTTCTTTGTGAAAAAATAGAGCCTACAATCTTAGCAACTATGCTATGCGATGTTCTTTCTATTTACTGATAATGCTACCCACATGCATCCAGCTGGGTTTACATCACTTTATGCAGACATCTATGACGATAATTGGTTCAAATGGACTTAAAACTTTTTCTCTAACAACTAGAACTTCAAGAGTTACTGTACATTGAAGACTGTGCCAATATATAATTTCTTAAAAGGAGGATGATCAGAAAAAAAGAAATAGAACATTCACCCATTCTTTCATTTTTTGGCTTTTCACAAATAATATGTGTAATAGCCTATATAATATAAACATGTAATAAATATGTGTGATAGCCTGTATAGTATAAACATGAAGTATTCATGAAAAAACTCATTGAAAAACTAGTTGCCTCCAGAAAGGGAAACTGGGAGGGAAGGGGAGAATTATATACTCTTTTGTACATTTTCAGCATTTAATTTTATGAATATCTTACCTATTAAAAATAAATACCCTTTCTTGAACTGAGTCAACTCCTAGATAAAGCTTTTCCTAAGGCCATTTCACAGATAAAAGAATACAGAACCTGCCCTTCAAAGGCTTATAGGTAAGACGCGCACATAAATAAAGACGGCACAAAACAGAACATGCTAAGTGTCCTAAGAGAACAGGGAGATGAGAGGGTAGAGAAGGCCACGTTTGAAGAACAGGAAGTGAACTGGAGATGGTGGACACACATGAAGAGAACGATTACGTCAGCGAGTAACAAGGACATGGTCTGGGCCCAGGGCCTCCTGCACGTCTCAAGTCAGCAAACCACGGGTGCGGCACCACATATCCTGGGCTTGCCAAAGACCAGAGAAAGGGCCCTTTCCACCTTTCGTATTTTCAATCAGCATGGGTTCTGGGAAGTGGAAGGAGGAAGGTACGGAAAAATCAAATCAAGCCCCCAGGCCCTGTGCTCCGGTTGTGCAGGCCTTCTTTCTTTCCTGGTCTGAGCAAAGCTCCTTCCCTGCTCAGGGCCTTTGCATATGCTGCTCCCTGAGCCTGGGAGACTATTTTACTTCCTCCTCACCTAGAACTCCTACTTACACTTAGCCTGAAATGCCACTTCTGCAGGGATGCCTTCCCTGGACACCCACAGTAAGCCTTTCCACCCTATCTGTAGTTCTTCTGTGGCCCCTATCGCAATTGTGACTTAAATACTTATTGTGTAATTTTAAAAAGTTTTCCTCACTGGTCACATATGCTACTGACCCCGAGGTCACATCTCGCCTTGTTCAACTGCTGGTGTCCTTATACAGTAACGGGCACATGGCAGATACCTAAAAACTATGTATGAAAGAAAGAAGAAACGCACGCTGTTCTTGGCCAGTCTCTCACTTGGGAAAACCTAAAAATTTTAAGGATATCTATCAAAACGAGGCTACACAACCTGGGTCAGCTTCCTGGGTGTGTGACCTCCACAGTCACACAGGGACCCCCCCACAATCAAGAGGCCCCATGCTGTTGTCATCTTACAATTCTTACTAATTTCATCTTTGAATTGTGTTGTGTATGTGAAGTCCAAGGGGACAAAGGAACATGAGTGGGAGCAGAGATCGCCCCATACGCACGTCCGCTACTCTCTGACGGTGCCTTTGACTATAGCGTTTGCTGCGCTCCCCCAGCACCGAGTTCAGAAGGAGCCACACCACACGGGAGTTCAGCCAGGTTCAAAGCCAGGAGAAGGGGAGTGTGTTTGTTATGTTTACAACTGAGCGAATAGAGGCACTCAGAGGGGCCGTGCTTTCCACTGGAACCAGAACTCGCTTCGAACAGCAGGCAATGGTTTTCTAAGAAACACAGGGGAGAAATAAACTCCATGTATCCTCCATGTTGCTTCCCTGTTTCAGCCAACCATTTATTTCCACTGAAAACGATGACACAGAAGGAAACATGACAACCCACACCTCATTCCTTTCCATCCATTCTTACTCATTAATAAACCGAAGGTAAAGAGGACCGACAGAATATGCACCTGTCAAGAAGTGAGATAAAACAGCTGCGTTAGTTTTGTGCAGTTTCCACTGTTCGGCTCAGAAGGAAATACATATGTATGTACAAGCTACTGATTACAAATTGTGTAATTTTGGAGGTTCCACATATGAGTTAAATACTCTTATACTTGCATTTAAAATTGGCATTACTGCCCTGGCTGGTGTGGCTGAGTGGATTCAGTGCCGGCCTGTGAACTGCAAGGTCGCCAGTTCAATTCCCAGTCAGGGCACATGTCTGGGTTGCAGGCCAGGTCTCCAGTTGGGGACATGTGAGAGGCAACCAACTGCTGTATCTCTCACACACTGACGCTTCTCTTTCTCTCTTTCCCCTCTCTCTAATAGTAAATAAATAAAATCTTTAAAAAATAAAAATAAATACAATTGGCATTGCACAATATAAAGATGAACAGTAAAATTCATGCTAATAACATTTACATTTTTCTTTACTTAGAACAAAATTAATTGCAAATAAAACATACCATGACAAGTTGAGAGATAGAAGGATTGTGGAAGAAAGGAAAAAACTCTGTATTTTAAAACCACGTGGATAAAAAAGGGGCCACGTACTCAGCCTGACAAACTCAGGGGACGCCTGCATGGTGGGCCCTACAAACCCAGGGACCAGCGTAACAACACGGGGCAGTCAGAATGTTAGAATTTCTAACTGAAAGTGTGTCATGGTGGGTAGTCATGTCCTAGGCCTGTAGCATCCTTGGCGAAGGTCAGTATTTAACTCTGACATTGTTTATTGTCTCTGTGCATCTAAGATAACATACCTGGGAAATGTCAGAGTACTCTTCGTGTGCAGACCCCTCAAAGGTCCAGCTCCAGGTACCAGAGCCCACACACCATCTCTCGGTGCTGTAAATGTTAACTGTTAACTGCCGAATGCTCACCTGTGTAAGAGACGCATGTGTCCCTCCACTTTACTTTTTATCCAGTCTCAGACGTTGCCCCACTTTGCTTACTCCGGCCTCCCTAAGCTACCACCAGTGGGTTTCATGCAGCCCCCTTACGTCTCCTCCTTTGATTCTAATGTATAAAATAAGGTGCAACACTGTCCTTCTCTAGAGCATTTTCTCAGCCCGTTGAGATTTTGTTCCCTGCAATTGTCACTGGTTTGGCTCAGAAAACCTCTTGTAAGACTTTTCCTTAGGCTGGATGTTCTTTTGTCGACACCACCTCAGCACTTTTTGAATAAGGGACCCTGCACCCCTGCATTTTCATTTGTATGGGGCCCCACATGCTATGCA